AATTATGTCAGTTTAGGTCCTCTATACAATTTGATTTAAATGAAAAAAGAAAATAAAAGTAAAGCTCACTGCTTCATTCATCATTATTTTTGTACAGCAGAAGCAGATTAAATCTTTACTGAAATCTTTAAGTCATTTAGAAATAAAGACTCAGCAGAATAACTTTGTTATTTTGTTCTAAAATAAAATGACAGATTTAAATCTGATGATCATCCTGCGAAAACTCAACCTCATGTTTTACAAGAAAAAAAATCAAAATCATAGAAATTCATCATCACTTTGTTATCCTACCTCATCTGGTGTCATTGTGTCTGACAGAGGAGGAGAGCTCGGCTCCTGGAGAACAAATAAACAAAAGTAAGTCAGGATTTTAACAAAACAATACATCTTTTAACCTGTAGGATCTGTTTTAAATCGTACAAMAAACATTAGAAGTTTTATTTTAATCAAATACAAGAAGTTTTCATTGAGCCGTCATTTTATTTGTTTCACCTTTTAGAAATAAACGTCACTCTTTAAGTTATGAAATAAACCTGAGGTCAGCATCTGCTGTGATTTATTCTGTAAAAGTGAATTAATGAGCAGCTTTTTTTTTTTTCTTTTACAGGACGTCTTGGTGAAATTTGTCCTTGAAGCAAGAAACAAATATCATCTAATGTGAAAAAATGAATTTAAATTTTAGCCACAAGCAAAGYTGTTTTAAGCAAACAGAATAAAAAATGAATAATTTTCATTTTCAGAGTAAATCATTGAAGCTATTATTTTCAGACAGGTACACGAGTCACACRATGATCTAGTTTTCAGAGTTTGGCTGGAAGCAGCTTATTAGGTGAACAAATATCTAATTTAATAACAGAAGTCAGCTGAGGTTTGGTGTTCCTCTGCGTGCCTGTTTGATATTCTGGTAATGAAAACTTGTTTGAGGTAGAAACGTTCCCCGCCAAGGAACACGACCGAACCCAGAGACGTAATTGATAATCAGACGGGCGAGCAGTGGGCAGCAATCAGGTTCTGCTCCTGCGAGCACGCACTTCAGTCCCGTCAGCTTTCCCTTTCTGCAGGTGACACGCTTTGTTTTGGCTGTGAGTCAGACTCGCCGCAGAGCAGAGCTGAATGTAATAACTCAACATCCAATCTAAGGCGTCTCCATTTCCACATGAGAGGAGGGGGAAAGAAACTAACGTCAGACTTTCAGCGTCTGAAGCAGCTGCCAATCCTGAGCGTCAGTCTGTAAAAAAACTATCTGAATAAAAAGTAGATTTTTTTATTGAACAGTTCACCTTGCAGAATCGGAGAAGTATTATGTGAAATTTTGGCTGTGTACTTTGAAGAACCCAATCCCCGATAAATATTTATATTTTAATCATTTAATGATGAAAGCAGGAGCTGACAGCACTCTGAGTGGTGGGTCACTCTCAGCTACTACCATAACAAATTTTAGCTCAATTTCTGTAAAACAAACAAAAAATCTGGTGTTGGCCAATGTTGAATTTTTGTGGCGGCCATATTGGACTGTGCTTATTATAGACTGGTAGATGAACTTTTAGCTAGGTTTCACTAAATTCTGTGCTGTGGTTCATAAGATATTTGGCTAACAAACTTGGTTTTCTTTGGCAAAAAGTATTTGAAGTTCATTTTAATAAATATACATGAATATAAGTTTAATTATACTATGCATCATGTACTTGTACTGTACTAGAARGTATACTGATTTAATACTTATTCAGACTAAATTGGGATTTTCTTTTTAGTTTAGAAAAGGCAAAGTATTCCGTTATAAAGTCTTTTTAAGTTTACCAAATTATACATTCAAGTACACTCATCTATATACACTCGTGTACTATGTATATACTTGTGGTTCACATTTGAGCTTGTTGAATTATATTTAAAGTATACCACGAGTATACTTATTTCTACACTACCATTGCACTAGTTATATACAGTATGTCTAGTCCTCATTTCTGTTTATTTAAGTCTTTATTACTAAAAATAAATGTTATTTTTTTATCATTTGTATTGTTAGATTAGAAATAATTTTGCCTAATTGTAGAATAGTGTTTGTGTACTGAAAAATACTTCCTGAAGTATTATTAAAYACAATCCATACTGTATGTACACTACACTGTAACGCATTACAAAATCACAAGACAGAATCTTGAGAACAAATTATATAACATTTTAAAAAAGCACAAGTTTAAGTCTATAGAATTAATGTCTTAAACTTCTCTTTATTCTGTTCAGTATAAGGCCAAGCATACTGCACTATTTTATTTGTAAGTATATCAAATATAGTTTATAAAAAGTAAACTTCAAATACACTGTCTCATTTTAGTGTATGGTAAGTATACGAATAGTACTTTTTGCTAAGAAAAGTTTTAAAGAGACAAAAAAGAGGACTTAATAAAGTATATTTAATCTATTTTAGCATTTTTTTAGCATCAGTTGGCTGTAGCTACCAATTTAAATTGGGTTGAACCCAAAATATAATCAGTTGTAGAGATGTCTCAGGTAAAAACACGACTGTCCACTTTTCCCTTTGGGCAGCTGGAGATAAATCTTCAGATTTCCACAGAAAAGCAGACATGCTGACGGAGTACAAATCCTGTTCAGACCAATAAGAGATAATGACACGAACACACCTGCAGCTCTTTCTCACACTGTCTGCTCTTGGAGGTGAAGAGGCCTCGGAGTGTTTTCCTCACCGACTGCAGAGGAGCTTTTTCTAAATGCAGAGCCGAGGAAAAGTGGAGGAGAGAAAAGAAAAAAAGAAAAAAAGCAACGAATTATAGAAATGCAGCTCAGAGGAGAAAATAACCGATCTGCAAAAAAAGAAACGTCAAGAATCTGCAAGAAACAAAGGAAGTCTTCATCGCTGTTGCCTGGAGACGGTTTTACTGGGAGACGGCCTGTTGGTGAGTTTGATGAGCTGCTGAGGAGTTTAACACAACAGACACACATTGACACACGCACACACACACACACACCAGCTGCTTATTGGCAGAACAAAAAGCCAAACTTTCGCTCAGCGCGGTTATAAACTTAGTCTGATTGTTTGAGGGCAGAAAAACTAAAACTAGCATCAGAACGTGAGAAAATTATTCACATCAGCCGCCTTTCATGTCTGAGTTTCAAAATAAAAGCATTTTAAACTAAATGCAAAATAACATCACCTGCAGTTTCATGCAATTGTGCAGGAAGTCACTCATGTTTTGCATATATTGACAACCTGGATATAAATAAAGAACTTGCTTTTTTATCATTTTAGCTTATAAAACTGATAAAGAAGTCATAAAAAGTCATTACTTAGGAAATACTTAGAAACTGATGAGATTATTTTGTGTTTTGGAGCTAATTTGAAGTAAATGTTTGATTTTGAATAAWATGTTGATGTTTCCCTRRAAGACTTCCTTAAGATGTTTTGTTKTTCAGCTGCACCATATTTCCCAACTCTCCCAGTCTGAACAATAAAGTCCTGAAGTCTCAGAGAAATTTACAGTTTGTCTTTTTAAGAGTTTAATCAGAGTTAACTTTTACAGAAGTCTGATTGGTCGGTTCACAGCTAGGTGACAGATCACAGACTGCTAACTTCAATAAATCTTTTTCTTTTACACATTCTGACTCTGGGSTTTACTTATTTTCCTTTGCAACAGAAAGGTAATTAGATTCAGTGTAGTTTCAAAAGGATCCATCTTGAATACATGAAACAAAAATATGTAATGAGTGAAGTCACCAGGTGCAGGAGGMGTGTGGTTTGATGAAGGCTCCAGAGGTTTTTGAGGCGGTAGGGGTCCGTTTCTCTCCTCCTGAACAGGACTGTCCTGCAGACGATAGAAAAACCAAACTCAGTCAGATCCAACTGGGATGAAGTTTTTATTAAACTTTGAAATGTAAGACTTTTATAACATGACATGTGCTAAACAAACAAGTGAGGCATGTGATTAAAAACCTTGTGGCTTTAAAGTTCAGGAACTAAAACCTGCAAAAGACAGGTTTAAGAAGCAAACAGGCTCACCTTCTCTTTTTCCTCCTCTTCTTCCTCATCCACAAAGGCGAAGGACTCCCAGCTGTTTTTGTGACACAGATTCTGCTCCTGCAGGCTGCGACCCTGAACTCACAACCAGGAAAACATTTTAGCTACAAGATTTAATCAAATGACAAATTTGTCTTCTGATAGTCTGCTTCCAGCTGACTTAAATATAAGATCTTGCTTTATAAAAAGTGAGGTTTTTGTGGTTTTTGTTCTTGGTTTTCTTCCCACAAACTACATTTTTTTCAACAAACAAGTGTTTTGTTGCTGAACTCTGAATGTCTCCTATTTCTGCTAGTGCTCAGTGATCCTATTAAGTCTATAATTTGTTGGTTGCAGAGCAATTCTTACAGGAAACATCTGATAGATTTCACTTCRTTTGGATTTTTTCCTCGTTTTAATGTCCCTCCACGGACACAAAACCAGTCTGGGCTGAGGATATGAGGCGCTGAAGCGTCCTCGTTTACCGGCACAATCATGATCCAAATTAAACAGAACCTCTTCTGCAATTAAAGCCAAACATTAAACCATTTATTGCATTTGTGATTATGTTTGCCCATTTATCTTGCATAACCCATCTCTCTTCTGTTTTATGGAGCAAAGCTTTCCCGTCTCATTGGGTGCAGTTTGAAAGGCACTTAACGAGATTTATAAAGAGGAAAGGAGTTTCAGAAACACATGGAAAGACTGCTACTATGTTAAATATAATTTTTTTAGAAACACAGAAACCTGGTTGAACTGAAAGGTTGATCATTCAGATTTTATACTGACAGTTGTTTTTTTTTTGCGGGAAAAAAATTAAAAATTCTAATTTTTAAGTCCAAATCATCTGTTGAAATGATCATTTTTATTTTATTTTTAAATTTTATTTAATTTAATTGAAAACAA